CCAGATTAGTGTTTGCACCATTGTACAATTCTACAATGTACAAAAATATATGGAATGGCTCACAAATTGGCATGTCATCGTTGTGGAGGGGGCAGGTTAACATTCTATTCGTCCAATTTTAGTCTTTCTGCTACTGAAGCAAACACCACATTTTCATTATGTTCTTTTAGTTAGTGCCAATTTTCAAATCAATCCTGGGCACTCAATGAAAATAATTTCCGTATGTAGATGACAACTAGCATCAGTATGTATGGTGAAGAGATTGAGATGGTTAAGATTTCATTTACTTGGTTCCAAAGAGAACACTCTTGATAACAGCAGCCAAGAAATCAGGAGACGAATTGCATTGGGAATGTCAGCTGTGAGGGACCTTTCAAGAGTACTGAAGAGCAACGACATCAGGCTGGAGACTAAGGTGCGCCTGATCCAGGCTATAGTCATTGCAATTACATGCTGTGCATCAGAGAGTTGGACAGTGAATAGGGATGATAGAAAGAGAATTGATGCCTTTGAGCTGTGGTGCTGGAGAAGAGTGTAGAATATACCATGAACTGCTAGGTGAACAAACAGATCTATCCTGGAGAAGGTGAAGCCGGAATGCTCCTTGGAGTCAAGGATTCTGAAGCTTCGTCTGACATACTTTGGGCATGTTGCAAGGAGGGCCTGGTCCATGGAGAGGGACATCATGTTTGGCAGAGTGGAGGTCGCAGCAGGAGAGGAAGACCTTCGATGAGATTGATCAATTCTGTGAGTGGAGTGGTGGGAATGAGTGTATTTGAAACAGCGAGGTTGGCACAACATAGAATGACATTTAGGGCTCCTGTACATAGGGTCACTCTGAGTAGCAAGGTATTCGATAGCACAGAACAAAAACAAACACAACTTCTGTAAAATGCGTGCATTGCTGGGAGGGCTAGTGAAAGGGGAAGGCAAGAAAATAGACAAAATAAAATCATAACTAAAATATATTTGGACATTAAAAAAAAAGACTAACGTGTTCCATCAACAAATGAATGGTTAGAGAAGCCGTGGTATATTCACACAATGGAATACTACACTGCATTGAAAAACTAGGAACTCATGCAATATTATAAAAAATGGGTGACTCTGGAGAACATTATGCTGAGGGAAGCATCTCAGTCACAAAGGACAAATACTGCATAGTGCCACTGTTGTAATACAGGACTGACCTCGGGGTTGGGGGGAGACTGAGAAAGATGGGTTCAATAATGTATAATGCATTGAAAGAGATGAGAAAACTGTTTAAAAGGGATATGTGATTAGGTATTTTTGTCATGACAGGAGTCCTGAGAGAAGGCAGCATAGTGGAATGGACCTGGGGAAAGGTTTGTATAACAGTGAAAGAATTTTCTTGACTTTTCCAAGAGGGGAGTGTACTAGGGGGAAGGTTGGAAGGGGAGAAAAGTGTAACAAGGGAAGAATGGAAAGCCAAAGTCTCTGTAAATTTTCATTGAAATTAAGAATAATTTAAAAAAAAATAGTAACTGAACATAGTCCACTGAATGTTACAAAACCAACCTGTATAAGCAGACACAGAATTTTACATAATTATTTCTTTCCACCTAGTTTTCTCTGACACATCTACCCTCATTACCCCAGTCACAGAATCAATCCATCTAATTGAGGGTCTTCCTCTCTTGTGCTGTCCCCTGACCTCTGTAAGCATGATGTCCCTCTCCAAGGACTGGTCCCTCCTTGCAACATGGTCAATATAGGTCAGACGAGACCGAAGAAAGCTAGTCTCCAAGAGTCAGTCTGGTTTCATTCTCACCATGAAACACTTGTTTTTGCTCCTGGCAGTCCCTGGTATAGTCCCTTCTCCAGGCAAGGGTCAGTCTGGTTTCACCCTCACCATGACAAACTTGTTTCTTTTCTTGGCAGTCCCTGGTACAGTCTCTTCTCCAGCACCTCAGCTCAGAGGCATCAATTCTCCTTCTGTCATCCCTAGTCATTGTCCAGCTTTCAAATGCATAATAAGCAATTGCAAAGACTCTGGCCTGAATTATGGGCACGTTAGTCTCCAGACTGATGCCATTGCTCTTCACTACTCTGCAAAGGTCTCTGACAGTGGACTTTACCAACGCAATTTGTCTCTTAATTTCCTGGCTGCTAGTACTAATAGTGTTGATTGTGATGGCAAGCAAACTGAAGCTGTTAACCATCTCAATCTCATCACCATGTATCATTGTTGCCAATAGGCCCAGCAGAAAGAATATTCGTTTTCTTGATGTTGAGCATCAATCTATATTGAAGGCTACAGTCCCAGACCATCTCTAGCAACTGTTTCAGGTCCTCCTCAATTTCAGCAAGCAGTTTTGTGTCTTCTATATAACACAGACCAGTGACGAGTCTTCCTCCAATTCTGATGCAATGTTCCTCCTCACAGAGCCCAGCTTTCCGGATGACATGTCCTGCATAGAGATTGAAAAGGCATGGAAACAGAATACATGCCTGGTGTACACCCTTCCCAATTTTGAACTATGCAAGTATTTCCTTGCTCTGTTCTGACAACTCCCTCATGGTCCAAGTATAGATTTTATATAAGCAAAATCAAATATTCTGGGATTCCCATTCTTCTCAGAGTTAGCCACAGTTTGTTGTGAGCCACACAGTCAAAGGCTTTTGCGTAGTCTATAACATCTATGTAAACATTCCTCTGGTACTCTCTGCTTTCAGCCAAGACCATCTAACATTAGCTATCTCTAGTATCACGGCCTCTTTGAAACTCAGCCTGCACATCTGGCAGTTCTCTGGAAAGGTACCGTTCCAGTCATTTAGGGAACATTTCCAGCTGAATCTTGCTTACATGTGATCTTACTCATATTGGGCAATAATTCCCACTCTTTGCACTGCCATTCTTAGGAATGGGAACAAATATAGATCTCTTCCTGTCTGTTGGCCAGGTGGTTGATCTCCAGATTTCTTGGCACAACTTGGTGAGCACATCCTGGGTGGGGTCTTATTTTTTTGCCAATTCCTTCTGAGCAGGGTGAATTTCTTCCTTGATCACCACAGGCTCTTGAACATGAAATTCTTCCATATCAGCCAATTCCTTTTGGTAGAGTGACTCTGTATACTCCTTCCATCTTCTTTTAATGCTTCCTGAGTCATTTCATATTCTGTCCAAAGCATTCTTAGGTATTGCAAAACGAGGTTTGAATTTGTTCTTCAGGTCTTCAGTTTAAGAAATGCTGTGCGAGTTCAGCACTTTTAATTTTCTGACTCCAACTCTTTGCATATTTCATGATACTTTCCTTCGTATTCCTCTGATGCCCTTTGAAATGTTCTGTTTAGCTCCTTGATCTCTTCATTTCTTCTCTTTGTTTGGCTTCTAGGTGCTCAAGGGCTATATTCAGAGTTCCGCTGTCATTCCGCTTGGTCTTTTCTTCCTCCTTTCCCTTTATAATGAGACCTTTTGCATTCTTCATGCATGATGTCCATGATATTCTCCCACAGCTCAACTCCTCTTTCCTTTTGGAGTCCAAGGCCGCAAACATGTTCCTGAGATGTTTTGAAACTAAAGAGACAGAGACTCAAGATCAAATGATGGTTCCTATGGATTTCATTACAATGTCTTCTACTTGAGCGTGAAATTGCACAGGAGTCGTTGGTGGTCTCTAACACATCCAGCACCTGTCCTAGTTTTCACAGCTGATTCACGTCCCATGCTAAGGCACTCCATTTTGCTGATACCTAGTCTTGTCAATATTTTTGTGTTCCAATTTTTCTTAACAGTATCCAATTTCCCAATGTTCACATATCTCACAATCCAATCACAAACTATCTGCTCACACCTGTGCTCTCTTCTTAGTGTTTCCCCATGTGAGGTCTCACTCTGAGTTGCCATGTTGGGGCAAGGAGCAGGTAGTTCGGGTTAGGGTAAGCGTTAGACAGGCCTGCACCCTTGGGAATAGCTTCCAGGTCACTGATTGTATTGCTAGGACAAATTGCTTTTGTGAAGTTGGTAAAGGTCTGACATAGCCTTCTCTAGGTGGTGCTTGCTATTTTGACAGGTAAAAATCAACACTGACTGATACAATTCGCTTTCTATAACATGTCAGCAACCTCTTCTATTGTTCATAGGGTTTACAAGTGCATATACTTGGAAAAGTGAATGTGCAGTGGTACTTTAGGATCACAGAAAACAGATCGTCAGATTCAAATTCAAGAACCAATACTTGAGAAAAAGATGATAAAATCCACGTCAATCACCAAGTGTGGGCTTGGAAAGTCTATAGGACTTTGGCACTGTCATATTGGACTCCCAACACTTGGAATTCACTTAATGACATGCGTTTGCCTTTCCTTTGTGGATACCTAGAAGGATCTCAGCAAACAGGCTGGCGGATCTCTTTCCCATAAAGTACAGCTTTAGAAACACGAGAGAACAAAAATTTGCACAACACCTTGGCCAGAATACAAAAGTTGGTCCATAGCAGCAAGCCAACTGATTCTCAAATTTCGATCTCACTTTTATTGTTCTTTTTGTGTGTATAGATGCCACATTTCTCCACCCACAGCAGCCACTGGCAGGGTTAAATGTAGTTCTATAAAGGGAGGTCACTCCCATGAGGAACCCTCCTTAGGGTTCCAGGACAACTTAGGGACTTGGGATATAAATAGACTCTCGGGGAATCTTAAATACAGTTAAATCTTCCTTTGTGTAAAAGAACCAACTTCTTTTTCTACAAGATTGCGTAAAGCTGATAGAACAAAGAACTGCTCAGTATAAGTTTTTAGGTTTCATTTATTTGGGTGGAAATATTTATTATACATTTGAATGAATACATTTTACACCTCTGGGATTTCAAAGACAATTTACAAAATACCCTGGCATCACAGACAAGCACTGATAGGTAGTACAAATGATACCAATTAAGTGTGTACAATAATGAGGCAAACTTTTTGCATATTGCTATTGCAAACTCTTTGCATTTTGCTACTGCCTTAACGCGTCTTCAGTGAGTGGATTCTTCGATGATTACTGAGCTGACGTGAGCGCCTAAACGTTGCCCCACATTCCTGACATTCAAATGTTTTCTCTCCTGTGTGAATTCTACTATGTTTAGTGAGGTCACCTGATTGTGCAAATGTTTTCCCACATTCCTTACATTCATAAGGTTTCTCTCCTGTGTGAATTCTTCTATGTTGAATGAGGCTATGTGAGCGAGAAAATGTTTTCCCACATTCCTTACATTCATAAGGTTTCTCTCCTGTATGAATTCTTCTATGTGAAATGAGTCCACTTGACTGAGAAAATGTTTTCCCACATTCCTTACATTCATAAGGCTTCTCTCCTGTATGAATTCTTTTATGTCGAGTGAGGCCATACGAGCCGGAAAACCTTTTCCCACATTGCTTACATTCATAAGGTTTCTCTCCTGTATGAATTCTTTTATGTCGAGTGAGGGGACATGAGACGGAAAACCTTTTCCCACATTCCTTACATTCGTAAGGTTTCTCTCCTGTGTGAATTCTTCTATGTTGAAGGAGGCTATATGGGCGAGAAAATGTTTTCCCACATTCCATACATTCATGAGGTTTTTCTCCTGAATGAGTTCTTCCATGATAAATGAGGTCACTTGATTGAGAAAATGTTTTCCCACATTCCTTACATTCAGCAGGTCTCTCTCCTGTGTGAGTTCGCATATGTAGAGTCAGGTAAGTGGATCGTGAAAAAGATTTCCCACATTCCTTACATTCATGAGGTCTCTTTCCTGGGTGAATTCTCAGATGTGGAGTGAAGTCAGGTGATGTGGCACAAGTTTTCCCACATTCCTTACACATGGGAGGTGTCTCTACTCCCTGAAGTTTTCTATGAGATGTCTGGTGACTTGATTGGGAAACTGGTTTCTCACATTCCTTACACCGAGAATGTTTTCCTCTTGTGTAAGTTTTCCTATGTTCAGAGAGGTCATGTGACCGAGGAAAGGTTTCCCCACATTGATTAGGTTCAAAACTTATCTCTCCCGTGTGACTTCTTCCCTGCGCCGTGACCTGACTTGATGGTGAAAATGCTGTCACACATTCTCTACTTGCATCAGGTTTCTCTGTGACATGCGTCCTTGAATATCTCCTTAGATGTAACAAAGAAAAACACACAATTAACACACTTTTGACATCTATACAGCCTACGTACACTCTGAATTTTTCCATCTGCTCTGATCTCTCAATGTCCTAGTACAGGAATAATAATTTTCCCATTTTCTGAACAATCATAATGCTGACCAAAAATGATAAATGTTTGTTGAAAAACTAAAGGAAATGTATTTATAGACGTTTTTCATGTCTTTGTACATTCCCGATAGTCTACCTCCTGCATCCACAGTGATGAGAAGGCACAGTAATCTTTGCTACATTTGTCAGATAAAATGCGTAGTCTCAGCAAGGTGAGTCTGCAACAGATGTACATCTAGACAATTTCCTTCCAAAGAGGGAAGATTGTAAATTCTGATGCAGCTTTCATGGGTGATTCTGTGCAACCCCTTCATATACGCCCAGTACTGTTTAAAGTCTGGTAAAAAACAGACAACACTAGGCTGGAAATAAGTGTGCTCTCATCTGCCCACAATGAAAAAACATGAAAGCATATGGGCTTTCCCTTAGGACTCTCCAAAGTCAAAATCTAGCAAAACTACGCTCCAGTATGTACTTTTATAAATCTTAAAATG